ATATATATGGGGTTTTTTTGTTTGTTTGTTTGTTTGTTTTTTTTTTTTTCAGTAGCAGCATAACTCTGCTACTTTCTGGGCTCAGCTCCACTCCACTGCTATGTTGACCTCCAGCTTCTCTGAGTTCCCAGAGATTAAAAAGGGCAGGACAGGTCATGAGGAAGAGCCCTTGGTGGCAAAAATATTAACAGCACAGATCTGCAGTAGCAAGGTCTGTAGCTTCTGAGTCTCCTTCCAGCCCAGCAGCCCCAGCATCTTCCCAGCACTGAGCATTTGCAGTGTGCTCAACCTTCAGCATTAACCAGCTGTGAGTCACACTCTGAAAAATGTTGAGGTTTGGTTTAAAGCCCAAGTTTGTTTCTTTTAAGAATAAATGTTGGTCTCCTTTATGTACCCTCTGGTGTTTAAGGTTTTCTATCCAAGATGACTTTAAACTTCTCCTTGTCAGGCCTCTTTCTCATGCTGTCATGCCCTTTCAGGTCCAAGGGTTATCAGGAGATGAATCAAGAGTTGCAAGAGCTGGCAGAAGTTCATGGGAGGCATTGGGTGACAAGCTTGGTGCTCCTGCAGGGCACTACTGCAGCTGCTCGCAGGGTGATGCTCCCTGACCAGCTGGCTGCCTGCAGCGGGAGACTTTCCCAGAAACTGTGACCTCAGTGAGTCTCTCATCCCCAGCCCCCCAGCCTCCCCCTGTGCATACGCCGAGATGTTTTTATCTTCTCTGTGCTGTCTGGAGGTGCGAGAGGCTCCTGCCCAGAGATAATGCACAGAAACATACTGTTGTAAGCCTTCCTTGGAGCTGCTGCTGCTGGCCAGGCAGGCGCTCCAGTGTGCTGGCACAGGCTGGCTGGTGATGCTGTGGGCAGGAGGACTCATGATGGGGCAGGATACAGGCTGTTTGTGCCGTTCCTACTTCCAGCAGCAGTAGAAAGGGCCAGAGTGGGGCTGGGCTCAATTGCCAGGCCAGCTGCAGCTACCGAGCTATGTATGTGTGTGGGATGCTGATGGGAGAGCTGCTGTCAGAAGCTCCTGCAGGAGCTAATAATATCTGCGCTGGTCTACAGCGAGGCTGCCTCTTGCAGTAGTTCTCTGAGAGTTACTCTCTGCCAGCCTTCCTCCAGCTTGTGCTGGAGCCTGACTTGGCAGCATTGCTAACAACATCATGGCTGCTGATTTTGCAATAGATACCTACTACCACCATCCCCTCACCTCCAACAGTGACCGCTGAGGTGCATACAGCTCCCAGTTTAACAAGCCCCCCCCTCCCAGTCCCCAACCTACCAGCTCCCACCCACTCATTGTACAGAGGTTCCCAGTGCCCTCCTTCAGGGATGTGTTTTGCCAGATCACCCAAACTGCTGCTCCGGGGGAGGTGGCTCTGGAGATCACAAAAGCGCTTTCTGGGACTCAGTGATCCTTCATGTCCCATCCCCACTGGTCCCTTACTGTGCACAGGCGAGCCCCAGTGTCTTGGCAGAAATCTGGTGCCTTGGTGCAGATCAGCCCCCTCTCGTTTCTGATGACAGATTTAGTATTGCTGTGCAAACCGAGCAGCAGGTCTAGTCCCTGGGGAGCTGCCAAGGGATCACATGCCAAATTGTTGCCGAGTCCCACATACCCTCCTTGCCCACTGCCTCCACCCCTTGTCTACAGCATGTGTGCGCCTGGGGAGAGGCAAGATTTCTGCTATCACCTTTAGGGCTCTGGTAAGCGTTGGGGGAAAAAGAGCTGGGAATAGTTCTCATGCCCTCCTCCCACCAGTTTTCTTCGTGGCTGAAAGGCGAGTGATCTGCTCTTTGCGATCAGACAGATTGTGTCTTCCTGGTATTCCTATGGAGATCAGGACACTCAGAGGGAACACCAGTGGCCCCAGCGCTTGTGAGCACTCAACTGGTGCCACTTTGGTTCCTGGGGTTCGTATAACAGGATGGTGGGGAAAGGTATGCTTCAGATAAAATCAGTGCTATATGGGTCAGCCCCTTATCTCCAGCCTGACCCCAGCACCAGCCTGCTTACACACTGTTTAGACAGATGGAGATTTCCTGAGCTGCCAGTCAGATGCCTTAAGACTGAGGGAAAGCCAAAACAAAATAAACCTGATGTAGCTAGGTGCTTTCATTTGCAAGAAGAGCAGCAGCAGGCTGGTTCCCAGCTGAACCTTTCCTGCTGTATCAAGCATAAATTCATCAGGTATTCCATTTCCTGAAAAAAAAAAAAAAAAAAAAAGAA